GTGGTGTGTTCTACTTGTATCTCTGTTGGCGAAATGTTCATCCGTTACCGTGGTGACACAATGCAAACACAGACAAAAAGTTTTAAAATACAAAATACAAAATGGATTTAAAGAGCACATTTTCAGGAGCCTGTGATCAACATGAGTGTGCATGGTTCTGTTTAGGTGATTTTTAATAAAAGCTGAGAGGAACTAACTGAAAAAACTTGTGAGCTTATGACTGTAATTTTATGTGTGAGAGACATTTTTAAGTGCACAAATCATCTCATCTGTTGTAGTTCCAGTCAAGTCAGCTCTTTGTGTTCCGATTGTGTTCAAATAAACCCCCATCCACACTAGTACATATTCGAGTCATTTTGGTTGAAGATGCAGTGTTCGTCCACATTAATCCGATTGAAAACGGCTCCAGAGACGGAACGATCTGGTGTCTCCAGCTCCCACGAATTCATCTGATCCGGCACTGTGTGGACGCCTGAAAACACTGATACACTGACGTAGGTTTATGCACGGCGAAGAAGCTAATTCACTGCCAAAACACTAAGAGGCTAGAATATATTCATATATACAGTCTATGTGTACGACCTGCAGACGTATAATCTCTGAAAAGTTTAACATGAACCATCTCCAACACGACAGAAACACAGAACAGAATTTCAGACTAAGTAATAACATCTCCATGGAGACGAGAAGATTGCAGATACCCAGAAAAGTTACATTAGTTGGTTACATGACATAGCAAGACTAATTGTAATCAAATCTAAATCACAACAGATTCAATTACCAAATCCCAAAGACAGAGTGTCATTATTTTCTCCTTAAACAACAAAATCCAGTCTTGTTCTACGTGAAAACTGCTAACCCTGGACTTTAGATCTGTACATGTTCTGAAATGTGATTCTTGCATTAGTTTATCACTTCAGTCTTTTTGTCAAAGTTTAAAGGTGCACTGTGTAACTTTTTGGTTGGGTGTCCGTCACCTTCTTGTTTCTATGAATATGTCATTGCTTCATCTGGAATGTTCCACAGTGTGACATTAAACAGCTCTACCTTAGATTTATTCAATTACAGATGGATTTATAGCTCAAAAATACCTAGAAAAACGATATTGTGACTGTGAGCGGGGTCACCTCTCCACAGATCTGACCTGTAACTTTGTCTGGTTTTGTTTCCATGAAGATAGAAAGGTTTAATGCCATACTGTGACACATTCCAGACAAAGCAACAACATCTCCATGGAGAAAAGCGTTTGACCCTCCACAACAAAAGTTACATTATGCACCTTTAAGTTACAATCAAAACTGAACTTTTCACTGCTGTAAAAATTAAAAATAACAAAATGCATTTTATCTGGAATATAAAATAATTATAAGTGTTATATGATTGTATTGCAGCATCGCCCTTCGTCATAATTTAAATTTCCTTCAAGCTCAATCACATCTATCTATCTATTTATTTAGGGATGTAACAATAATCCAAATATCGTTATATTGTATCGTCAAAAGTCTCAATAATATCACGGGCTATCATGAGATATAGATTTACAAGTCTCTTTGTTGATATTCCTTGTTTTGTTTCAGCAGCAGCTAAAAAACAGATGGAACTACATAGACCATGATCCTTTGCTCTGTTTTGGTACAGATTACATGAAGAAATAAATATTATTAAGCACTTTTAAGCAGGTTTAAGGTTTTAGGTCTTTGGATTATGACTGAACCAAAATCTTGTCAAGGCATTTTAAACGGGAAAAGTGGCATATTCGTCATGTTGTTATTGCCTCCACAATAAATATGATAATGTGACATGCACTTATCTCACAAAGATTCGTACACACAGATTCAGATATTGTTACGTTCCTAGTGATAAGAAGAGTGCTTTAGTGATACACCGTGCAGCCCCACTCTGAATGTTGTGGTCTCTTGAATAAAAGTTGGAGCCACTCATTCGTAAAGAGCTGTAAAAACCTTCGCTCTTGTGTGTGAGTCTCAGAGTGTGGAAACGTGAGCCTGTGAGAGGAGAGTCGGGCCGGCTGCAGGGTCTGGCTCAGCCCAACCTGGCAACGCGCCACTGGGCTTTTGCTTATTCAGGAGTTTTGATTAAATCCTTTATTGTGCTCCACTCACGCAAAGCACTAAGGTGAACCAGAGAGCAGGGCCAGAGGAGGAGGAGAGGAGAGGAGAGGGAGAAGAGAGGGAGGAGGGCAAAGAAAGGGAGGGCCAGAGAAAGAGGAGAGAGAGAGGAGAGAAGGGGGAGAGAGGGGGAGTGCCACAGGAGGAGAGGAGGGAGAGGGAGAAAGGGAGAGGGAGGGGGAGATGGAGAACTAAAGGAGCAAGAGAGAGAGAGAAAAGGAGAAATGAGGATGGAGGTGGGAGGAGAAGGAGGAGGAGAGAGGGAGAGCAAGAGGAGGAGAGGGAAGGAGGGATTAGAAGAGAGAAGAGGGAGGAGGCAGCTCAGGGAGGGGAGAGAAGGAGAAGAGGGAGGACAAGGAAAGGGGGAGAGTGGAGGAGGGAAGGGAGGGAGGGAAAGGAGGAGGAGAGGGCAGTGGAGAAAGGGAGGGAGAGAGGGAGGAGGTGGGAGGCTTTCTCTGGCTCTGAAAAGATGTTTGATTTAGTCTTTGGGGAGTTGTAAAGCAGATAAGTTTTTTTTTTTTTTGCCTGCCCGCTCCATTTTATTCTCCTTGTCCTTTTTATTTTCTTGACTGAATAAGAGCTGTGCTTGTTTTATTGCATTCTGCACATTTTGTTCTGCTGCTTTAGAGAGAGAGGAATAAATGCACAAGGCCAGTACAGAGGAGAGAGCTCAAGTCCAGACCGTCACATTAATCAGCACATTTTATCACATGAGCTCCATTCAACAGAGGTCATACACTGACCTCAATTTATCTGAAACTGGCACAACTATGGACACCATTACACACTTGATGTTTTTTTTTTTAGGTCACATTTTTGTCCATGGAGATATTTCTTCTGTAGCTCAGTTTTAAAAACTATTCTAACAAAGATGAGACAATAGTGTAATATGGTTCTTAAACTGTTTTCTGATCGATGTTATTATATTGTTTTCTCGTCACAAACAGACCTGGAGTTGGGTTTTGTTTCATTCACATGTTTAACACATAAATCCTACATGTTTAAGCTCAAACTTCACTCAAACTGAAAACACTCTGTTCCACCTTGTGATGTCACATCATAATACAGGAAGTGCTCCACTGTGTTTAAAACCTCTACACACCTTCACTAGAATCATTTGGATCATTCCAGCTCTAGAAATGCAAATCTCCACTGAACAAAAGGTAAAAGAAGCTTTTCATTTGAAAACTATCACTTCATGACATCACAAGGTGAAAAAAAGGATTTTCAGCTTTAGAGATGCAGGCAGCCTAAAAATGCAGGATGATACAAAACTCTCTTGCTCTCTATCAGTTTGTATCATATAGGGCACTTAAAACTAGGGATGTACCGATCTGATACTGGTATCTGATATCGGCACCAATACTGAAAAAATTGCTGGATCAGAAAACAGCTTCCAAATATTGTTTTTTGTTTGGGCCAAGAAATGTATGTTACAAAACTTTTAACTGGATGTAGTCAGCCAAAGTCTTATACAAAGTGATTGTGTATTTACTAGAGGCACATACAGAGACAATAACACATTTAGACTGATTGTAGACTGATTGTAGTTTAAAGGACATAAATGGGGTTTTAGAGTTTAGTTGGATTGTTAGTGAACAGTAGGGGGAGATAAAGGACACTTGACTCAGGGCTGGTTCTGGCCTGTTGGATTCTCTAGCAGCTGTTTCACATTTTAGTTCTGTTTTTAACTTTTACACAAGAAAATGTCATAAGTTGTTACTTGCCATTGACACTCATGTAATGTTGCCACTCATTCACTAAACTCCCTACAGTTACTCTTTAAGTTTCTTTTACTTGAGCAGTACTTTTCCCAATACTTTTTGTACTCTTACTTAAGATTTGGTTGAACAGAAATAATTGAATAGTCTGTTCTTTTTTTGTTTGTTTAGTTTTTTGTAGCTGATGTTATTTGTAAATTGTTTGCTCATATCATGAAGTTGATCAAAATAAACCCCTCAGCAGGTCTCACAATAATAAAAAAATACTTTTACTTTTTTAGTCATTTGTTGACTACTTTATACTTCTACATGAGTAACATTATTTTGAAGTAACAATGTAGTACTTTTCCCAACACTTTTTTTACTCTCACTTGTGTAATTTCCTGGACCACTACTTGTACTTCTAGTTGAGTAATATTATTTTCAACTAGCATTACTTTTACTTGAGTACAATTTTTGGTTACATCTCTCTGCATCTTACTTGTGTGGTACTTCTTCCTTCTATGTGAGCCCCCCTCCTGGACTCTCTTGCCCCTCTCTCTTGCCTCTCTCTCTTTTGCCCCTCTCTCTCTCTCTTGCCTCTCTCTCTCTTGCCTCTCTCTCTCTCTCTGCCCCTCTCTCTTGCCCTCTCTCTCTCTCTGCCCCTCTCTCTTGCCTCTCTCTCTCTCTTGCCCCTCTCTCTTGCCTCTCTCTCTCTCTCTTGCCCTCTCTCTTGCCCTCTCTCTTGCCCTCTCTCTCTTTGCCCCTCTCTCTCTTCTCTCTCTCTTGCCCCTCTCTTGCCCCTCTCTCTTGCCCGTCTCTTCTTGCCTCTCTCTCTTTTGCCCCTCTCTCTTGCCCCTCTCTCTCTTTTGCCCCTCTCTCTTGCCCCTCTCTCTTGCCCGTCTCTCTTGCCTCTCTCTCTTTTGCCCCTCTCTCTTGCCCCTCTCTCTTGCCCCTCTTTCTTGCCTCTCTCTCTTTTGCCCCTCTCTCTTGCCCGTCTCTCTTTTGCCCCTCTCTCTTGCCCCTCTCTCTTGCCTCTCTCTCTTTTGCCCCTCTCTCTTGCCCCTCTCTCTTGCCTCTCTCTCTTTTGCCCCTCTCTTTTGCCCCTCTCTCTTGCCCCTCTCTCTGACAGTGACTCTGTGGGAGCCTAAAGTGATTTGTGTTGTTGTTTCAGCTGTTTGGGTGCCTGACCTGAGTGAGCAGTTCACACCCCCGGAGACGGCCCCCCCAGCGCTGGTCAGCCTCCTCCAGGCCATCGAGAGGAGAGGTGCGCCCCCTGTCTGTTCTCACTGGCTACAGCGTTCTTCTGACCTACTTCTATGAAGACAAAAACTTACTGGACTTACTTTGTATCTAAAATCAATAAAGCTGCTCTGTGTCACTTTCTGACACAGAGACGCCAAATACAAACTTGGGATAGAGTGAAAATAGAGCCAAAATAAAGAGAAGACTTTATGAATTGTCTCTCATAAAGTGGTAAATTTAAAGTGCAGCATCCACATTATCCACAGAAATTGTCCTCCACAAATAAAGACATCCAGTCCACAAAACCACACTGTGAATCCAGGTTAAGGCGTTATTTAAAAGTAAAAAGGTGAGAGTAGTTGATGTGTGTGTGTTTACATCCACATGGCGCTCAGATCTAGGTGAAGCTGCAGATTAGTGATAGTGACTCTACTTCCTGTGGACTTTATCTCCAGTCTTTTATGCTTTACAAATACTTGATCTGAAGTTTTGCACCACATTTCACAAATAATAATAACACAGTTTTGACTTGTATCTAAACACAAGTGCAGAGCTCTGATCTTTTGAACACAAAGCGAGTCATTTTACTGTAGACAGGAAACAGCTGACACGCTGATGTATCTGAGTCCAACCATAAGTTCCAAATATTTGTCTGAACCCGTCCGACTTCGGTCGGGTTTCCATGCTGTAAACGAACAATTAAAAACCACCCTCCTTCTCTCTCTTTTACCTTTGAACTCACATTTCATTCATGCTTTACCGTGAGGTAACACTGCCTTAACAATCTACACTAGGCTTAAATTGTGAATAGAGATCAGATTTGGCTAAGCCTGAGCACTGCATAGTCTTTATGTGAGTAAAACTGACTGGATTTTATTGTAATTAGAGCCAAAATTTTATTTTTTTTATGATTAGTTTGTGATATTTTTTAGACTGTTTTCAATTGCTACTGATATTTCCTTAGCTCCACATAAAAAGCTATATATCGATTTTTATTTTATGTAAAAAATTTACGTTTCTCTCTTTTTTTAGGTTTGGACAGTAAGCTGTTGTACAGGACTGTTTCAGAAAACCCAACACCAAGCCTCCTCAGTGGTGAGTATTGCTACACTTATAGTTATATACATTTACCAAACCTTCTGATGTTGAACTGCCGTGTTACAGACGCTGACCTGAACCACAGAGACGTTGGTTTTCTGTCTGAGTGTGTGCTGAGCTATTTGAGAGACCTGCCCTCTCCTGTCATCCCCATCAGTGTCTACCCTCACCTGCAGGGGGCGCTCAACAACCAGCAGCAGAGCCAGGCCACAGGTAATATTCACACGTCAAGTTTAGACGTGTTAAAGGCCCTGAACTCCATTTCTCTCACATATTTGAGCAAAAACTGTCTAGCCCCAGTACATATATATTGTGTAGGCTGCCATGTGCTGTCTGCATGTAATCTGAAAGTATTTTACTGTAAACGTGATAAGCAGGAAGTGTGTGTTAGCATTGTAGTTATTGCTATCTTAATGGACACTGTACTCTGGTCTCTGAAAGTTGTGAAAACCGCTTATAAACTCATTGTTGTGAATAACTGGGATGCTCTGAATGCATTAGGGAAGTCAGACATAACTTTGGAACACTGTAAGACGTTTTAAATGAACTTGTTTTGTTTTTCACATTTTAAGACAGTAAAAAAACAGATACAGCGCCTTTAATTTGACATATGTAGCAACAGACCTGCCACACTAACTATTGTATGTATTTATAAAGCCAAAAAATTAAGATGTGCACATTTTAGCCTTAATATTTTAGTTTTGTTCCTTTAAATTAGACCACTGGGGCACTTTACTTGAATATTTGAGCTTGAGAGGGTTGAATAATTAACTAAGTACTGTTTAATTGCACTGTTTATTTATTGTAGCTTATGTTTTATTTACAATATGGTTCATTTAGAAAAGGATTGCTGAGATTGCTATGAGGTTATGGTGTAAATGGTATAAAGTGGTCTTAATTATTATCGTTTATTGTAACTTTTTCTTGTAGCATTTACACTGTGACTCAAAAGTTTGGACACATTTCATTCAATTCAAAAGGCATCAAATAAATGAAGATACATGGAATTATGTAACAAAGGAAAAAAGATTAAAAGTGCATTGTGTAACTTTTGTTGTGGAGCATCTGTCACCTGCTTGTTTCCATGGAAATGTCAGTGCTCTGCCTGGAATGTTCCACAGTGTGACATTAAACAGCTCCACCTCACATTTACTCAATTACAGATGTATTTTTAGCTCAAGAAAAACAGGCATTTTGACTTTGAGTGGGGTCACCTCTCCACAGATCTGACCTGTAACTTGGTCTGGTTGGGTCTACATGAAAATAGAAATGTTGTGAAATATTCCAGACAAAGCAATAACATCTCCAGACCCTCCGCCACAAAAGTTACACAATGCACCTTTAAATAACTCAAGTAAATATTTATTTTAGATTCAAATCCTCCAAGATTCCTTTACTTTGTGGAAAGTGGTGTAAACTCTTGGCCTTCTCTCATGTTCATAGTTTTGATGAGAATCTACAATAAATAACCATGCAAATAAAGAAGAAACATGAATGAAAGGGCGTGTCCAAACTTTTGACTGGTCGTGTTTCTTCAGCATTTGTTATTATCATGACTCATAACAGACACAAGTGAAGTGGGGCTCAAGTGAATGATACTTTTCAGAATCAAACTGGTGCCTCGTGCTGCAGATTGAGATGAGCTCATTCAGGAATGCCACATATGCTGCTGACGTCTCTCACACAAAAGAGTCAGTAATTCAATTTAAATGTATACACGTCAGGGCTTTGACTGACGCGTGAGTGAACTCACTGACTCCAGGAAAGAGACATTTTACTTTTTATACACTTTCATTAGTCACAACTTTCATGTTCTTAAATACATACATGCATTTTCCCTTTGGTCCTCCAGGTCTTTGCCCTGGCAGGTGGAACCTCAGCGTTCTTCATATATTCACTATTCCTACAGTGTGTTTGTTGGATAACCTAACATGTTTTATAAAAACAGCACTTCCAACACCGCTGTGTATAAATCAGTAGAATATATTACTTAGCAACAAATTGCTGGCTCTTTGGTGTTTCCAGATGGTGCGGTTGCTGGGGGTCACGATCGAGAGGTGAGCCTGGTACTGGAGAGCTCTGCCTCTGTCCCCCTTCACCACCGCCTCACGCTGCAGTTCCTTCTCACTCACCTGAGCCGAGTGATCCAAAGCCAGGCCCTCAACGGCCTGGACACCCACACTCTGGGGCTCATCTTTGGGCCTCTGCTCATCCGGACTGGCCCCTCCTCTGGATGGTGAGTCCTTCAGGGAGGTTTTTAGCTCTACACTGTGGTCTTTCATATCACAACATTCATCTGTCTATAATATACTATCAGGGGTGGGAAGAGTGTGAGAGAATGAGGAGCTCATCTCAACTAAAATGCAAAGTGTTGTTTTAACTTCATTCAGCAAGCTGGTCATAAAATTGAAGATGTATTTGAAAGAAAATAGGTTCAACTGTATTTTCTGTGGTGTCAGGATACATGATTATGATACATCTACACATGAAATGTTCAGTTGTGACTTTTTTTCGCACTCTTATTTTCTGATATCATGACCATCTCATAATAATACACAGTCTTATGCACAGGTCACCAGTGGATGAGCAGTTCCCAGCTCTGGTTCTGGAGAGGTTGATCACTGAGAGGACCACACAGCAGGACATCACCCCTCCAGGTAACAGACTGTGCTTTACATTGATCATATACAACTGAATCTGTAAATGCCAAATATTGATCTGTCTCTTTATCGATACAGTTCTCCCAGCAAAACCAGTCACCTCTAAAACTGCACCATCGACTATGACTGACATGACCACGCTGCTCAACGACGCCGAGTGGTACTGGGGAGAAATCTCCAGGTAAGAAATTAAATACAAGTTTGGTTAAAGCAGGTATTATGCAAAATCCAATTTTTACCATGTTTTAATTATTTACTTAATTATTCCCTCATCAAAAACATGGATGAAGAGGTTTTAGATGTCATTTATCCACGTGCAGTAGATTCATTAGACAGATGCACGCTGATTGTAATGTAGAACTCTGAAGGAGGACAAAAACAAAGCAAAACTGAAACTTATTTAAGATGTTTATACATTGTTTTCTGCGAATATAGTATTTTCAAAACAATCAAAGGTAACATGGTGATCTAAATATTTTATGCAATAGCAAAGAAGTAAAATACTGCCCCTTTACAAACTTACAAACATGATTTTAGGTCTGACTTATTTTGATTCCTTTGTGCCCTGATTGTTGCAGAGAGGAGGTGAACGAGAAGATGAGAGACACTCTGGATGGTACTTTTCTGGTCCGAGATGCCTCCAGCAAACTGGAGGGAGAGTACACCCTGACCCTCAGGTAACACAAAGAGCCTAGTGTTCAAATGGTGATTGTAATATTTCTATTCTCATATCATATTGTCATGTGTCTTAACAGGAAAGGGGGGAACAACAAACTGATCAAGATCTACCATCGAGAGGGTTTTTACGGCTTCTCTGAGCCCCTCACCTTCAGGTCTGTGGTGGAGCTCATCCAGCACTACCGCCACGAGTCCCTGGCCCAGTACAACACCAAACTGGACACCAAGCTACTTTACCCAGTCTCCAAGTACCAGCAGGTCTGTGCCCACCAGGGATGCTACCTGAGGCTCTTACAACTACACTGGCCTTTGTTCACTGAAAAATCTTTCGGTGAAAGTTTCAAGTATCTGTCTTTAAATGCAAAGGCAGCAATCTAGAGGCGTCTAGCACAATTGCTAATGCCCCTCTCAGGAAGTAGTGTTAGGAAGTGTCTAATAAGCAGCAGAATAAAGTGATGAATAAGACATAGACAAGGGCTGAATTTATTCTAATTAACACCCCGTACATGCAAATTAGCAGCTGGTTAGGTATCCAAAAATAATAATATAAGTATTATCAGACTTTGTTCAAACGTTTGAAATTAGAGGCCAAAAACATAAATTACTGTCATTTTCAGAATTCAATTCGATATTTTTAAATATAACACAATTCATTTAGTATTATGGAGAATTAGTACAAACATGGCTGAATGTCAGAAGTTAGTCGGGCTTTTGCTTTCTGAAAGTTTTTTAATCTAAAATACAAAATCAACTTCAGTCTTAAAAAATGAAAAAAAGAAATGTTTGCTGTTTGATTTGAAATGACCAAAGGTTTTGTGTGTGGTTTTGTTCACAGTTGGTGAAGGAGACCAGTATTGAGGAAGTGGGAGAGCAGCTGAAGGTGTATCACGAGCAGTACCAGGAGAAGAGTCGCGAGTACGATTCCCTGTATGAGGAGTACACACGCACCTCACAGGTACGCAGTATAACATCTGCACCATTCTTAAATGCTATAAACCCACACAAGAACCAGCACTAACACTGTCTTGCACTACATTCATGTGTTTACACTTTATACAGGAGCTGCAGATGAAGCGTACAGCCATTGAAGCCTTTAATGAGACCATAAAGATCTTTGAGGAGCAGTTTGAGACTCAGGAGCGCTACAGCCGAGAGTCTTTGGAGAGATTCCAGCGAGAAGGCAACGAGAAGGAGATACAAAAGTATGTTTACGCTGTTTAATAATTCAAATGTGACTTAACTTTTCTTATATTAAACAATACGGAACAAAACAAAATCTACAAACCAGCCAGTCCCTTCTACTTTCTGTTTAAATACACAAGGATTTGGAGCTGGACCACAGAGCGTGAAAAACCTCTGTCCAAACTTGGGACGATCCAACCACAGCTGCTAATTTGTGTTCACATGTCTCTCAAATGCAAAAGACATCCTCTTGAATTTTTTAATACTTATAGGCTCATTCTAAAACATAACACAAACTTCTGTCTTCGGGTTCTGTGTCCAATCAGGATCCAGAGTAACTCGGAGCGTCTGAAGTCTCGTGTGAAGGAGATCCATGACAGTAAAGTGAAGCTGGAGCAGGACCTGAGGCAGCAGGTCAGTGACAACAGAGAGATCGACAAGAAGATGAACAGCCTCAAGCCCGACCTCATGCAGCTCCGCAAGACCAGGGACCAGTACTTAATGTAGGTTCACTCATGTTTTTAAAGGTGTATGGTGGAGCTTTTCTGGAGATGTTATTGCTTTGCCTGAAATGTTCCACAGTATAGAACTAAACTTATTTATGATGTAGTTATTGAATTACAACTGAAAAAGGTCTGCCACTCACTAGTGTGGTATGCAGCTCTCCATAAGGGGTACAACCTCATGTCTGCGGACTTGTTTCTTTTATTCAGATCAGATCAATATTGCGATGTAAAATGTTCATATTATAACATAATGACCTAAGGGTGTCATACTTTATAACAGACACAAGCTTAATATGTCTTCTTTAAGGCAAACCTCCAGAGAAATAGGGTTTTTTGCCTTTCTTTGGGTTAATCTTTTTTTTTTTTTTAAACTACATTAAACATAGTTTAGTTTCTTTTTAGACCTGGTTTAGCCCTGAGCTCGGTCTGAGGAAGTTTGGATTTAGATCTTTTTCAGTATTGATACTTGCTCAAGTGAATATCTATGTTTGATAGTTTTAGTTCTAGTTCTAATTATCTTTTCTTTTTTTTTTTACTTAACTACATTAAACCTTTTCATCAGAGTTTCATGGTGGTACTTGAAACACCAAATATGTTAATGGTAATTGGTGTGAAATATAGTTATGTATATTTCTTAAACAGACAGCATATTGGAATCAAGCTCCCTCCCAAGCGTATAGACTTAAACTGGATATTTTGTAGACACAAGATTGCCATAAACATATTCTATCCTCAATGAATTTAGTTTGGAAATCACAAGACACTAGGGAATACACATCTATTTAGTGTCTTATCTAATTGGTGCTACATTGATCACAGTTGCTGTGGTTTTGACAGCCTAAAGGGACATAGAACTTCCTGAGCAGATCAATACTACACAGTGATAACAAAAGACTGCTAATTCCATGTTACTGAGTACATAACCACAAGCTTTCTCTCTATTATACAACCAGTCGTGCTATTTCTATCCACTGAACCCACTCTGGTGTGTGCAGATGGCTCACACAGAAGGGAACGCGACAGAAGAAGATCAACGAATGGCTGGGTATCAAGAATGACGCAGATGAGTGAGTTATCCCCCAAAAATAACAGTTTAAAGCCACAGTATGTCACTTTTTCACCAAGATAACAGCATGTTTCTTTATTGCACCTGTGACTATAATATTCCACATGGTGATTGAAAACATTTCACTTGAGAATATGTGGTCTATTTCCATGGAATAATGCAGTTAAATTTCCACATCCAGAATAGAATAGATAGTTGTACGCTATCACTTTACGTCGCATACTACTCGTTTCACTACAACACAGTAAACATGGTTACATTTCCAAAAATCTTGTCTAGTTTACACTCCCAGACCCATGTCCTGACTCAACCCTGTCCTCTACTCAGCTCCTATTCGCTGGAGGAGGACGACGCCTCTCCTCACCATGACGAGGGCACCTGGTACGTGGGGGACATCACGCGCACTCACGCCGAGGACATGCTGAGGGGCAAATGTACCGGCACGTTCCTCATCCGCGACAGCCAATCACAGAAGGGCTCCTACGCCTGCTCTGTCGTGTAAGTTTTGGCTCTCCATTAAACGCACAAGTGTTTGTGTGTGTGTGTGTGCGTGCGTGAACAAGTGCAGACCAGAGCTGTATGCATACTGGTTAATTGTTCAAATTAAAGCATTGCAGTGTGTTTACTAATATTTTGATAGTGTCTGCCTGAAGATTTTATTGCACTGCATCTTTATATAAATAGACTGTGTATGAACCTGTTGATACTTTGCAGTAACATCACACTGCAGGGGTGTTCTGTGTGTACAATGACAATGTACACATTCACAGTCTGATAAGTTTATAGATTGTCTAAAAACTCAAGAAAAAAAAATACAAAATTTATTTAAACAACACATTTTCAGGAGCCAAGATCAATATGAGCGCTCATGATCCTGTTTAGGTGTTTTCAGCAAAAAAGGTGAAAGTGTCCAACTGAATTTGCATGGGAATTGTTTAGGAGCACAAATACTGTCATAGTTCTAAGTCAGTTCTTTATGGTCAGATTGTGTTAAAGAAAGCGCAGATTCAATTTGAGTAACAGAATTTCAGATAGAGCAGTGATGACAGTTGGCATCATCCCCCCAGAGAAGGTTGAAAACATCAGCTCAAAGTATGAATATTACTGCGTTTTGTTCACATACACACACACCCACACACACCTACCGACACACACACCCCTTCTAATTCTCATTTATTTCCTTTTATGTATTTTTCTAGTGTGGACGGCGACACCAAACACTGCGTCATCTACAAGACGGCCACAGGTTACGGCTTCGCGGAGCCCTACAATCTGTACTCGTCCCTCAAAGACCTCGTGCTGCATTACAAGAACGTGTCTCTGGTCCAACACAACGACCACCTGAATGTCACGCTGGCCTACCCGGTACTGGCGCGCCCGCGAGCCAACAGCACCCCAGATGAGCTAGCCCCACCCGACCCCTAACCACGCAAACCCAAACCCAAACTATGGTTCACATTTCTACGGGTGGGTAGACTCAGTGTTTCCACATATTCGCACAACACGGCGACGGCGATGCGGCTACAAGCACACGATGTACTGTTACGTTTAGCTAGCTGTTAGCCGTTAGCCGCTCGCTGTTAGCCGTTAGCCGTGACTGTACATTGGGTTTTTAAATACTCCGTGACTATGGACATCTACAGAAGCACACCCATGTTTAAGTAGGAGGTGCTGTCAGCCCTTGGGCAAGAGACAAAGGCCCAATGTCACACACAGACTGCCTGCACTAACTATGTAGACAACAGCCTGTCATTCACCCAGCAGACACAGGCTTGGCTAAACATGGCTGCTCGCTTCAACTTACAAAAGCAAATCTATGAAAAAACAAACAAACAAGTGGACCAGGGGGTGTTGTCACTGGAGTTTAAAGGGCCTGTATTACGCGACATTGACTCTTGTGAGCTTTAAGGTGTGTTAGAATGTTGTTACCTGATTAAAAATATACCTGCAGTTTTGTTTTGTTTCCTTCACACATGCTTGAATAATCCTGCGTTATTTCATTATATACAGCTACGTTTTGGTCTGTAAAGGTCGTAATTCCAATTCTGAAATTATCCAGGTGATTTTAATGACATTTAAACACACACCTACCACAGTGTTACAATTTCTTTTCATGATGCAGGATTTGTGTGAATGAAACAAAACACAACTCTAGGTATATTATTGATGAGGAAACACTTTAATAAAAATCAGAAAATCACGTAATATGAGCCCATTAACAAGAGTTTTTAAGGTTAAAATAAAGTGCCATAGAAATAGCTTTGATTGACCACAAGCCTGTGTCTGAAGACTTAGAGGAAGAAGTGCAAAATGGCCGACAGCTTTAAAATACAAACAAGTCTATATTTTTATCAAATGTTTATTTTCAGCTGCTTTGGCTTGTCTCGATTTTCCATTGAAGAGGTACAATGTACATTACACTGCATGGTACACATATCTTTGGTATATTCAACAGAAAGGCTGTTTTAAAAGCAAAAAAGGGTCAGTTTCACAAAGATATGCGAATTTACGCAAGATCACAAATGCACCGCCAACTTTAGACACCACATAGTCGCTTATAACAATTGGAATCACAGTTGTTTTAGTTGAATTGTATTAAATGAATGTAATTTTAAGCAACAAACCATCTTTACATTGTCCAAATGCTGAATTCCAGACAACTTCTTTACGGTGCTTTCTGTAGGTGCTTAAAGATGGACTGTGTAACTTTTCTGATGAGGGATCTGCTTCCAGCTTGTCTCCACGGCGATGTTATTTTGTTGCTTCGAATATTCCGCTGTATCCGTCTTACATTTCTTCTATTACATGTTTTTATTGCTCAAAACTACCTTGGAAAACACACATTCTTTCTGTAAGCGCTGTTGCCTCTACAGTCAGTTTATTGTTATACTGTGGAACATTCAGATTCAGTAGCATCTCCATGGAGACGAGCAGGAATGTTATGTAGTGCACCTTTATAATCACATTTGTTTAACTTGTGGACAAAATGGCATCTTTGTGAAACAGCCCTGAGATGGAGCGGTACTTTTATTGAGAATTACATCGCCTTCTTCCTCTGTTTCCGTCTTTCGTTGAAACCATAACCAGCGCTTGAACTTAAACTGTCGACTTAAAGTGGAACTAAATGCTAAATGAACTTTTTTTGCTACTCAACTACGTATATGTTGTTTTAAAAGCATTATCTACGGTTTCTAGTCCTTTTTTGGCAATTTTAGCACAAACTAGGAATATTTGCAGCTTTGTGGCCAATTTCAGGTACTTGGTGACATCACACAAGACTGCCCAGATCACATGCACCTGGCTAAGGGGCAGAGTTGTAAGTGTTGATGGATACCTGTTAGACCAGTCACACTGTTCGTTATTCCTCCAGACCCCACCCCTTCTCCACCCTCACTCTCCCGTTTAGTCCTCCAGGTACTGCCCCGTTCAGCAGCTCTGTCTCAAATGTGGCTTTAGTTGGGTTAGTTGAGTTAGGTGTTTAGTCCCACTTTAACTGTCAGTCTGTGCGCCCCCTATATGTCCGACAGAGCATAGATCTTCGTGATTAATATCCTCGGTACTGTATTTGCTTGGTAGACTGTTGTTAGCGTCTTCTTTACTGTCAATGCTATTCGCGGTACTTCCGTATTTTGACTGTTCTCACTGAGCTTCACATGTACAAAAGAAAAGTGTACAGTATATTTTAGACCCACATGCAGTCTGTGTATGTGAAAGTTAATTTTTGTTGTTTTTTTGTTTTTTTAAAAAGATATTTGTTTGTTTTGATTTATTTTTATGTTTTCTGCCAGACTTTGCTTCTAGGATCCAGCTAATGTGAGCCAAATGAAGGATGTCTTTTCATGTAGCAGCAAGTCCGTTTTGCCATTCAGCGTGGAGAGATTATAAGTTTGCATGGAGTCTTTAGTCTAGTTTTTTGTTCATGTTTTTGTAATCACAGATTGGTGGTGGATAGGACTATGCAGATAGTAGTAGTGTGACCCAAACCCACACACAAATTTCTCAAGTTACTTTCGCCCCGTTTTGAAAGATTTCAACCCATTTTTGAACACAATTTATTTTAAATTTTAAGAGCACTGTTATTGAGACAGACTGTTTATATTTTGTGGGTATTCGCTGAGATATCAGACTCTTCAGTTAATCAACATAACTTAAAGAGGGGGTATTATGCGAAATAGATTTTTTTTTTTTTTGCTTTCTATAATGTTATAATGTTTGCTCATCAAAAACATGCCTGAAGAGGTTTTATATGTCATCCATGCATGTTTCAATCATTTAGCGATCTCTCCCGAGCCCTATTCGAACCCTCCTTGCTGTAAGACGTAAGATTCTGTCCTTTGCTCCACCCACAAGCCTGCGTCATCCATACTCCCACACGACAATTCTCTCTAAATATACAAAAGCATGATGCAAAACTGTACACAGCAACTTGACAAGCCTTATGTGATATTTTATTGTTGTATGTTTTATAAGCAGGATGCACGCTGAATGTATTGAGATGTCGCTCTGAAGGGGGAGTGACTTAGCATGGAGGGCAAATAAGTGGAGCTAATAGAACATGTTAATACATTATTTTCATTGACCAGCCATTTTCAAAACTATAAAAGATAACCTGGTGATCTGAATATATGATTTGTCTGCAGAGAAGTAAAATACCCCCTCTTTAACTGTGCATTACAACAAATCTTGCACATCGCATTGACACTTTATTAAAACTACAACTCAAATCATGTAGCGTTTTCCTTTCAATCTATACCCACAAAAATGTTTAGTATTTGAAATTGTAAGTGTTATTTTCAAATCAGAAATGATCTACCAGTCAGGATTAATCAACTTTTTTTGCACAGTTCTTGGCGCATACACAAATCCAAGAATTAAACTATCCGTGAACTTCTAATATGAGGGCTATATTACATGCTGAGAAAGATTGGAAGTGCCTTTTTGTCCAACTTTTTGATTGCGCATTACCCCGTTGCTCCAGTAGGGGGTGCCAGCGTGTCACCTGTTTGCCATGAATCCAGGAGCGAGGGCTCTTTGCTTTTCTGAGGGCTAAAGTGTGGAGTTGAAAGGCTAGAATTTTCTCCCAATTTAATCAAGTTGCCCATTTTATTTTTTGTTTTGTTGAAATACATAATTTTGAGAGCGGTTTGGTTATAAATAATATTAATGGGCTGTCGAGTTTCTCTTATTAGCCAATAGATGTCAGAATGATTCTATTTTGAAACATTACAATTTAAAAATGGTCAAAATCATCAAATCTAGTGAATCAAGTATTTGCCTGTGTGACCTGCACCAGTAATACAAATGTAAAGATTTTAAATGTCTATTGTTTCCTTTTGCCAAATTACATCAAAAGTAATTTTCATAAAAATGTTTGTGTTATCCCTTGGTCGTCCAGGTTCATTCTGTAACACAAGAAAATTCTGTTCCGCCAATAGATACTTTGCTGTGACATCATGCTGGGGGTGTTCTACATAGCTCTCTATGGCAGAATGTTTAGCAGTTACCATGGAGACACAATGCACAATGACTAACTAAAACTTGAGACTTGTTTAACAGCACAAACCATCTCACCTGTAGTTCTAGCTAAGTCAGTTCTGTGTGGTCAGATTGTGTTAAAAAAGTGTAACAAAGCCTCAGACAGAGCAGTGTCTCCAGTTAGCGTCACACCCCCAGGAAATGTGGATGATATCAGCTGTAGAGTATCAATAACATGATATAAGACAGTGTCCCACCAGCACTTGACCAGACCTGAAGAACTCACATGGATGAGTGGCGAACAGGGCTGCCTCTAGACACTATTGGGACCCTGAACAAAAGGAGGTTTGGGGGCCCTCTGACATGAAAGATTTAAGTGTTGAGGATTTAAAACTGCTTATTTTATACTTTGACTTTTCAAATTTAGAAGGAAACATGCTTTTTCATAACAATTACTACTTTTACAATATTTTTTGTTAGGAAAAAGCATGTACTTGGGGGCCCTCTGGAGCTTGGGGCCCTTAGCAATTGCCTGGTTTGCCCACCCCACTGTGGAGGCTCTGGTGGCGAAACAGCTTCACTCTAAAACTTTAGTCCAGTTGATGGAATTTAATTTCTTTTGTTATTTTCGACTCATTATTCACTAAATTCGCAAATCAAGAAAGACCTTTCCTTAAATATTTTACTAAGGGCTATTGTAAGTTTAGTCCTCCACACTGTTGTTATTGCTGCTTTGTTTTTTCAGCGATCGCAACCTTGAAACGTTCTTTGTATAGATAAAGATACTATTGTTAGCATGGTATCAACGTAAGAGTTTTGTTGATAATCGTAGTTGTTGCATATTCTTTCATTTCGCGGTGGCGGCTGTACAGAAGCTTGGTGCTCATTTTATTTGCTTTTTTTTTTTTTTTTTTACAGTTTTAAACAACACAGTTAAGCTCCAAATGTGAAGCGTGTATATTTGGAATGGTCCCGTTTTTTACAGTGATAAGCTCTTTGACGTGAATGCATGCAGCAGTGTTGTTTCTATGTCTCAGTATGTTTTTCAGGCAGGTTTGACCAATGATTTTTATATTGACCGCACTTTTTCATGTTGTCATTGCCCGATTTGGAGCTGAAGTTGCGATAGAACCATACTTAGGGCAAAAATTTACTCTTAATGCAAACTCTTAAACTGATAAATACTTGCTCAAACTCCCTGAAAATTGTGTATTTAAACATTCTACCATGTTATAATGTTCTCTCATCAAAAACATGCTTGAAGAGGGTTTAGATGTTATACATGCATGTGTGAGTAATCTAGTGATCTCTCCCAGGCCCTATTCAGGTACTCTTTACAGTTAGCTGAGACAGTTCTCTATAAATATACATAAGTGTAATTCAAAACTGTACACAACCACATCCTCTTTAATAAAAAATAATCAGAGCAGAGTGGAGGAAAGTCTGACTTCATAAAACAGCTCACTT